CCAAGATTGTATGTCTCTGAATGCATGCGCGCGCGAAAAGTGGCAGCCGCTGATGGTCTGTGCGCGCCTTTCATGTCGGCAATGTGTCCCATAAGAATACCAACTGCTTCAATAGATGTCTACGTCTCTTAGTGAAGGCTGTGAGCTCCTGGAGTTTACACCTGAAGAATCTTCTTTCTGCCGATGGGCTTCTTCCACATACGCGGCTTATCAAAGGTCAGCGCTTTCGAGAAAGTACATTCCTCAAAATCCGGCCGCAGCGTCAGGACCAAGGTGGTTTCGATCGACAAGGCGCTCGGAAATCGTAAGTCATAAGACTGCCATTGGGAAACGCTGGGGATGAGTCCAGTGTATGTTAACCGTACGAAGCCGAGCACTTGCAGGCCCACTAGGCGTCGAAGCTGACGAAATGAATGCACTTAGAAATAGACAAAGTCGCTCAAGTTAGGGTGTGCAGCTAGATGGCCTGTAACAAAATTCAAATTTAATTCTTACACAGAAACATTCAGTCTTTTGGTCGAGAGGTCATCTTGGCCCCAAGGGGTACCAAGGACTCACTTTTGCCTCGGTATGCACTTAGGGGAAAAAGTGGTGAACTCCCCTCCTAAATGAATTTCAGAGAATACCTTTCGCGATGCATATGAAATGCGCTGCACCTCATTGATATGGTAAATCAGAAAATCACTTTCTATGACACAAGGACTCCTTGTTCATTGTGCTAAGCGAATAAGTACGCTAAATTAACCGCTTTATAATCTCTCTGTCGACTACCGTATTAATGACAGCCTCGAAATGGGAGCTGACGCGACAACACGAGGGTGCCCAAATCACAAGTCAAGGAAGACAGACTGTGCTGGTCAAAATTTACTGTTGCGAAAGAACGTACAGAAGGATCAGCAGGCTTCAGGCATGTTGTCTGTGCCAGTGTCCGCCGTTGAGGTTCTTAGTTCCCTGCGCGTGTTTGCTTTTGTTTTGTCTGAGTTGAGTCCGCCTGTGTAGCCAATCAGCGATGGAACGGCGTTGATTGGCTTCGAGTTCTCGCCAGGCCAGCGTCAAGTGTCGCGCGGTCTAAGCAGCAAATCGACAAAGAGCGTGTGGCCGACAGAAGGTCAAAGTGGCGAAGCGATCAAGTGGGCGGTCTATCACTCCCCCTCCTCCATTGCGTAGTACAAGTGGCTTTGAGCTAAATTCCAGGAAGGGTACTCATTCTCGTGTCCCAACCCCAACACTAACCCTGACCCAAACCTTAACCGCAACCTTTCTCTTAACCCCAACCGTAACCCTAATGTCCCTGAAATTTAGCGCAAGACCAACTCCATTGTGGCGGTCCCCATTTCCGTGTCCTGTTGGGGAGGAGGGAGGCACATAAACAACCCCCTACCCGCATCCTAAACAGAATTAACTTTCCTGCCCTGTTGGCAGACTGCCCGAAATATACCCTCCTTCCAAGAAATCTTAATTTGTGGGTCTCCCGCTCAAACCGATTTGAACGAAGTAGAGTGTTACTAAGTTACATCAGAGCTCGATGCTCCGTGTCAGAAGACAATTCCGGCTTCACAGCATTCGTCGGAAACTGACGTACCAGGTCACCGCTATTATAACCGACAATTGTAATTAGCAGTACATGTGTGCAAACTCTCATGTCGAATGTTGCGCCTTCCGCGTTGGTGTCGTGGAGGAGTCATGGACGGACGTCTTCAGTTTTTTCCAGTCGCACCAGGAGAGCCGCTAACAGTATCTACCTTGTTCGAAATTTTCGCCGGCGTCCTAGTGGAAGTGAGTCTCAGTTTCCGTTCTTTGGAATTAATTTGGAGTTTTTGGGATTAAATTGAAGCTCCCATCTTGTTTGGACAGGCCGATCGAGCCCAACACTCTGAGATAGACCCCCAGGTCTTGCTGAGCGTGGAGACGAAATATGTCCGATGTAGCAGGCAGCCTCCTTAGAAATTCGAAAAAAATGCAAACATACTAAACTACCTGGCGTGAAATGAAAAGGGACGCTACGGGTGTTTTAGTTAGTAAGCATGCAATACAGTGCGCTGTTACAGTTATGTGACGACAAACAAACAATCTGGCCAGTGTAATATTAGTTCACATGAAATACTTTTTGTGACGCCTTCGGATAGAGAGACGACATCCAGAATCTTGGACATGTGTTTCATCACTTATCTGCTGTCGGAGGAAGCGACTGTGAAAATGTCGAGTCCTGGTAGGCAGACGATGCATCATTACTTCCTCTAACTGCATCCGACGAGATTGAAGTAAAAGCGTCACAATGCAGTTTACGAGACCAGTTCCAGTCTTTATGCAGGCAGTGGAGTTTAATTCGGTCATCTCCACACTGCGGAGTCGGACATCGCGGAGTTTGGATGTGCGGCAGTGATAACCAGCCAATCAGATCAGAGAGAAGCGAATGCGCATAGGAGTGTGCTTCATCATAAACTGGAAGCAGGCTCCAGCCAAACGATATGTCAAGTGTTGTGCCGATTGTCGGCGTCTGAATGAGGCAAAACGATGTGTTTCAGCTCATTGGTGGATTCCTCAGCGCTACGCCTACGCGGCAGTGTCTGACACGTAGGGTTCCGACAACTTAAGTCTGAGTTTTTGGAGACTAAATCAGAAAAATAACCAAACAGAATGTCTTTTTACAACGAGCAGTAGCTCAATTCAGCCTTATTTATTGTTAAACTGCTCGACCTTGACTAGGATCTTTCCATATGGTTAAGACAATTCACCCAACGACGCGTCCACTATTAGACTCGTAAATGATTTTTGAGAACAAGAGTTCACAAAGTTCCCGCAGGTCAATAATGCAAAGCGACTTCGCGAAAAACAGTCATAGACAAAGTCGACTAGGGTAATAGTTATGTGCATAGTCAGCATTTGGGTGCCTGAAGGAAACAAGTAACGCGTTCGCCGGCACAAGTAAGAAAACGTGATTTTAATAACGACGGTTTTATGAGTTCGCTCGCTTCAGAAATTCTGAATTCCAACCTTTTGGTCGAACGGTAGTGTTTTTGGAAATTCTCGCTTTGCAGCTTCCTCGATCCGGAGACCAACTGACAAAGTAAAGCACTCCGGGATCGTCGAACGGAATTGCGGACAAGGCAAATAAGTTAAGGTAACGGGAGCAGTATCCTTGATGCTGACAGGTGAACACGTGCCAACAGTGATATTAAGTAAGGCGGACTCATGAACTACGACCCACACGCCACAACTGTGCAACGGTTTCGAAGTCTCGAATCTAATTTCCTGCAATAGTTGCTAAACGCATGTCGTCAGGGCCTTGTGCCGCAGTTCTCTGGTCTGTAGTCAGCCATCAAACGCAAATAATTTTCTCCAGAATTGGTGGTCTTAACGTACTGTCGGGTAAAGTCAATTAATCCCATAGTATTTAAGGAGATGTTGATGGTGGGTGGAGCGTCGAAATCATAAGCATGATAACAGGCGTTGAGGGCTCGGCGATCCATCACTCAGAGCTGACTGGTCACACAAGCTCTGCGCAAGTAAATAGGATCAGCTATAAACACTGGATGATCGAGGTCTCGTACACACCATACCAACCGGCACTCATGTGTTGGTAAAGGGGGGTGCAATGATCAAGTTGCGGAACTCTCACATTCCAATGTGCCTTGGGGCTCTCTCTCGAGCCTTGCTAACAGTCCACACTGACGCGTCATATAGGCAGAATAGTATTGTCGATAAAGACACGGGGGGGGGATTGAAACGGCCATTTCTCGCCCACCAGCCGTCATCAGCCAGCCATACCCAGCCCCGAGGCATGCAACCTCCGAGGTGCACCCCTCTCTACTACTTGCAATACACCCGGTGGTAACCGACAGGACGACGAGCTCGCTGTTCGATTATCAGGGCGTTTGACCGACAGGTAGCGAGTTCAATCCCCGGAGGTTGCTTGCCCCGGGGTTGGATATGTCTGGCTGATTACGTCTTTATCGGTAATGCTAGTGCTCATGCAATTGAACAGCAGCCCTTTATATCAAATAGTGCAACCAATGTGCCTTTCCGTTTGTGAGGGTGGGCTATTTATCGATCCGAAGCGCCAGGCGAAAAGAGCACTTATTTCGATGACTCGAAGAGATAGAAGTCGGTGTGATTCCCGGTCAAAACCGAGGTGGTCCAGGGAGACAGGTGGGTGCCTACACAGTCGCATTATCTCGAGCTACTGGCTATGGCGTTAATGCCATATTGTTCCCAACGTTTTGGGTTTGGCCGTGGACGCCAGATGGGACGCGATAATTGGGTCGGTTGCTCGTGCTAAAAGTGATCAACATGTGGTCCATCAGTAGGCGGTTAAAAACTCAGCTGAATCATTATAAAACCCCCTAAATCCAAGACTTGTCATTTTACGGACCTCAAATGCTAAATGCCTAACATCCGGTATTTGCAGAAGTCGGCAAAGTATACAGTTTCCGTTACTGTTAGAGCGAATTTGAGTTGTGTCCGGAAAAAGAGTCGATGTTCAGCGATAACTTTCACAATTTCAGCAGAGGTTCGAGAGTATTTACTACTACTACTACTACTACTACTACTACTACTACTACTACTACTACTACTACTACTACTACTACTACTACTACTACTACTACTACTACTATTACTACTACCATTACTACTACTACTACTAATATAACAGCAACAACAACTACTACTACTAAAACAACTACAATTACAACAACAACAACAACTACTACTACTAGTACTACGACGACGATCGTTGCTGCTGCCGCTACCATTAACACTGCCAGTGAATCAGATGCTCGAGTCTTCAATGAAGTAAGTTCCCGCGAATAACGGAGGAAAAAAAGCGGAACTTAGGTCAGCAAAAGGCGTTTATATGCTTAAGCAAGCTTGAGTCAACATTCTGACCAGAGCCTAGTCGAGTCAATGAAGGTCTTTTCAGGTTAAAGACTACCAAGTATACATTCGCAGATGAGACCTATCTGCTAAAGGCATCAAGGTAATAAACGGATATGTGTGCCTCCCCGGAACTATTATTCTACAAAGTGTACTTTTTAGTATATTAAAACGAGCGTGGAGAGCAAATGCGGTTTTTCCCCTAGTACAAATATAGACACAAAACCCTTCCTCTCCAAAAAAGGCTCCTATTATCACCAGTCTCATATTGCGAGTGCCTTACGTCATATATCAGAGGGGAGGGGGACATACATATCTGTTTCCGTTTGGTACTATACTTGGAGCCGCGGGATTTCCCCCTTTCATTGGATTATGGGCAGCAATTTACGCTGAAATTCCACTGGATAACGCAACCATTTATGGTTTCATAAAAGAAGACCACTTAATATCGCCATTGAATATTTGCGATGAGATAATAGGAAACACTATTAGCTGGACTCTCGCCTGAACTTTCTAAAGTAGTTTGGAAAAATTTACATGGAGGGGACGATTAAAGTTTGGAAACACAACGAGCTATGAGTTGCCATGAGAAAAAGCGCAAACATAGAGAGAGAACACACAGTTCTCTGAAATTACCATTTCTCTCGAGGCTTTAGAAGGAGGAGGAGGAGTTTTCGTCACGGGAGGCGGCAACTGACAAGTTCGCGGTATTCCTTTGGCTTGAAACTTTGCGAAACTCCACTTGACTTTAAACGGTCTCGGCTGCGTGCCCATATGCGAAGGTTGGCATAAGGCGAGTGTTTCGTTCACTCGGGATCTCCAACAAGTGAATCAAGCCTATAGGATAGACTCTAGCGAACAATTTAACGCATTTCTTTTTACAGCTTACATAGCTCGGTAGCAAGAGGATGGCTGCTAGAGCTGGACCGTGTGCTCGATAAAATATAACCCAGCAGGTATAATAGCCTCGAATCCCGATTCGTCTTTTTCATAGAGGTCATTAAACGTGCGAGCGGCCTCCTTTATGAAAGTTGGTCCGGTGATTTCTGGAGACATTTCTTGGGTTCATAATGCTTATAAGAGGACAGTTAGAAGCGTAACTCATTTTTGTGTTATATTATCTATTAATATTTTAAGAATGGATCTTTACTCATGTCCGCTTCACACTGCGATACAGTCTGTTGTCTTTCGTTTTCGAGCCTGGAATACATAAATGCATTTTCGGAAGTAACCGCGATGAGGGCAGCATGGACAACTATCGTTAAAACGTGATCCCGCCCACAGCTCGCCCCCAGTATGCGGCCACCGTCCTGAAACGCAGACATGCCTTCACTTTTTCCCTTATACATTCCTAATTGTTTTTTCTTCTACGCTGCCCCGATTATTGCCTTCATTACCAACCTATATGAGACAGCAATCCACTCACCTGCCGCCCACTCAGACGTTCGACACTTACTGATTTTTTATCTAGTGATGATAAGAAAGTGTAACAACTAATTAATGAGTGGTATTCACGCCCCCAATCTGCCACTCAGTGTGGATCAGTGACGTGGCGGTTTGGCTCAGATTAGTCCCGTTTTTTTCGCGTTACGCGGAATTGCCCCTCAGTGCGGCCAGACTTATGACTTCATTTTCGCTCTTCCGAGATGCGGCGGCCAGATAATTAACAACATACGAGGCAGTAAGTCCCTACGGTTCTCTCCGTACAAACCGACGCTTGCAGTGCATCATGCGGGGGATGGCCCGCATACCTTTTCCGACATCTTATGCAGGTATTCACCCGCGTCTCTCGTGCGGCACATACATGCCAATCTCCCAGTGGGGCAGAAAAGGAGCTCATTTACTCAGACATTTCACCGGCGAGAGTTCCTTTGAGGTCGAATCAAGAGGGAACTGATGCCACCCGATCAGTCTCGAAGACCGAGATATCATGAAAGTTTGTTATGACCCGCCTGGTACTTGAAATCCCGTGGAGCGTACACGCACTCGACCCTTGTCCCCAATACCAAAGCAGCAGACAAAGAAAACACGGTCGGCCACGGAAGTGTATTAGAAAAACACCACAAGTCGCGACTAGCTGAAAGGTGACGCATATTTATAACCACCCTACTGTGGTTCGCCGGCATTCAGTCCAATGACCTTCGGGAAGAGGGTAGCAGCCAATAGAGAGGCGCTCGATTAAGATGACAGCGCTGTAGAGAGCGAGAGCAAACGCACGTGGTCTCCAATGATTAATTGGCTCTTGTTTTTGGGAGTGTAGGCACTCCCAACAAAGTTGAACGATCAGTTCTGAGGGTCCCAGGATAGCGAAACAGTACCGCCTATTTAGGTAACCCAGAACCACTGGCTGACAGTGCGACTGTGGAGATCTACGAAGTCCACGGTTTGCACCACGGGATGGGCGCAGGGCGGTGACTTGCGCGTGAATTATTTTAAATTGATGCGGACTGGCGTTGCACCTACCACACACCATCTCCCCTCATGCCCTTTACTTGGATGGCAAGACGACGTCAAGGCGACCGGAGGCGGGCACGGACCCAGCGACTAGTGAAGCCAAGCAGCCCATCTACGCGCGCCACACACGACCTGGTTCCCCCCAACACGAACCGGAAGTTTGTGAAAACGCCTGGTTACTAACAGGCGTGGTAGTGCAATGGCGGCCATATTGAACAGGGGTCACTGCATCCTGACCCTGCGTTCTGAGAAGGACCAATTTAACCCCCCCCCCTTGACAACCCCTGAGCAATAACTGTTAGTGAGCCACGATAGAACCAGGCGCGTTGGACTTATTGCAGTGAGGAGTGCGCTGATTTGGCATGAGGATGGTTTTCTCAGTGTTAACCGAATTCCCTCTTACCTCTCCCATGCACCAGTCGACTGTCCGAGCTGGTGTTTGGATTAGATTCAGTAGCTGACACGGCTCGAGGTGCGCGCCTAGGCGTGTCAGCACGCCCCGATCAATGAACACCAGTAGTTGTGTCTCGCACGGATGCTTCGCTGACAGAGTAACGCGTGCCGTGGACAAATCTGACCCCTCCCCCCATTTTGGTCCAACGCATTTGCAGCGCAGCCGGCTGTGGGGACACTGCCAGTATTCTGAAACACAATCAGCCACAGTTTCCCTGAAAACTAGAATCTAACCTTTCCTGTGGCCTAAAACAGTTCCGCGAGGAAGTTTGGAGACTGTGTGTCGGTCCACGGACATTCAGCAGCTGACTCTCCACTTCACGCATTTTGTCCGGATGTTTTTCTTCAAATCGGCCCACTTGAAATGCCGAGGACGTCTTTGAAGAAATGACGCAAATGAAATTCACTGACTGCAGCTCTACGGCTAAGAAGCCAGGCTGATGGAAAAAATGGCCGCAAGAAAATAAAGGCAGCAGTGGCGGTAGGCTATTTCCCTGGAAGACATTTGTTACCTGACCTCGACAACGGGGATAACTGGTTGGTAAGTGTGCGGGGCCCATTTGTAAAGTTACCCTCGTGACCGAAGGGGGTTCACTTTGTCACTCAAGACAAGTAATTCGACTGCATTTTACGGCTGTTCAGGTCGGTGCCATTCGAGCTGCTAATTTACTATTGCATAAGCATACAATGCTGAAGAATAAACGAATGATCGGCGTCTGCTCTGCTTGTAAATTGCCATTATCCAGGCGAAGCCTGCGATGCAGCCCACGAGATCCTTGTTTACCGACTTCGACAGCCCAACGAAGCATTGACTTGTGCAACATATTTCCATCACAGGACCACCCGTCTTTGCTTTACTTCTCCAAACAATTCCTGGGCTTTTCCACTGCCTATGGTTCTCATGTGTGTGGGCTGGCGTTGGAGCAAAGGTTGTCGTTGCTCCTCTAGTGTGATTTTGATTAATCGTTATCCACGCGAACCATAACCATTGGTTCTCTTGTGTGTGACGTTCGCATGTGCAGAGTTTTTTTATCCGGAAGTTCTAGCATACCCTTTTTTGAAAATTCATCGCAAAACGACAGGACCCAGACTCTGTGCAGTCTCCCCTTTGATGTAAAAAATGCATTTGCGCCAATAAGTGCCTGAATTCTTTTCACCTGCCTTCTACTGTTTTATGCTATGATAAATACGTTTAGGGTACAAAGTTTTAGTCTATTCAGGGAATCAACGCGAAAAAGAGAAGGTCCTCATTCAGAATGCATGGCCCAATCGACAAGTAGCAAAGTCCGGTATATTACGCGATCCAACCGTTCGTACAAATTCAGTCAGTCATCCACGTATAGGTTACTGCAGACAGCGCAGTGTTGGGAACACGAGCGAGGACTCGGGAAGTACATTTCAGGCCAACGGTGTCCATGACAAAGCAGGGGTTTCATGAAAGAACGCGAGGGGGATATTGTTATCTGGCTTTAAGAGCTATTCCAGAAAATGACCATTAAACTTGCCTGCCAACTGCTTCTGGTGTTGCCGTGATGTCTCTGAAGCAGGACTAGCTTCTGTTAAAATGCAAGAATTGTTTCCCTCTTCGTCTCCTCATTTACAAGATCGCGCACGAACCACCCCGCAAGATATCCTTGACAGATTCTGAAAGTTTCTTCCCCTCTGAAAGCGCAGGTTCCAAAAGTGACATGCACTCACAGAGGGATCGAAATGTTCTTATAATTGAAACTATTTCCGCCATCAGCAATTTCAATCATTTCAGAAGAGTTTAGCTGCATCCATTCCACAATCGGGTGGGTTATTGAACGGTAATCTACCCTCCCTGTTAAGTAATTTCGGTACCTCAGGTAAGAAAATTCGAATT